TCACTGAGATGAATGAACACAGGTTTGGGGGGCCACTGCAGGCAAGGACATTGTAAGCTGACTCCCAAGCAAGGAACACCAGTGATGGGTGCTGTTCGCTGGGATCGGGTGTACAGCTTTCTTTGCACTGCTCAGGGTGGCATGTAGCAGCTGGGGTGACAGTGAGATCAGGTTGGCCTACAGCAGCAGAGGCAAGCCGTAACCTGTGCCTCAGCCCACAGGCTGCTCACTGGCCGGGAGCCTGGGCTTGGGAATCGGGCCGACCTGGGCTTGAACCCGGCTCCGCTGGGATTGTGGTGGAGATGAAACAAGATAATACCTGTAAAATGACTAGCCTGGGGGAGATAAGTAAGTGCTAATAAATGGAGGCTCTGATTATTATTATTTATTATTTGTCCAGTTGCTAATCCAGTTCCAGTAACTGAGATGCTTCCAAGGGTTTGGATTAATTTAGTTAGGGCTGAGCTTGATCCAGGAGAGAGAGGGGAGGTTTTCGTGGTGACTGTCACCAGCTCCTTGAAAAAGGGAGGAATTGCAGAGAGCAACCAGTATAGTCTCCAGCCACCAGGGAAAGGTGAATTAAAGACATGTGAGACAGCACATTAGCCCTTTCTCAGCAGCAATCTGGGCTCCAAAGACGGACAGAGGACCTGATAACCATCCCCTGACACCACAACACCCCACTGGCACTGTGCCCATTGTGGGCACAGGCGTCTCTGGTGGTTCTGTATCCTAGACCAGGGTCAGAAACTGGAAACCCACAGGCCACATCCAGCCTGCAAACATTCTTTGTTTTGATTTGTCCTGCCCATTTCTATTTGTTGCTACATTTAAAAAATGGTAAATTTCATGTGCAGATCCAGATTTCTGACTTCTCTTGAACAAATCAGGAGCCCTCACTACACTAGACTCAGATTTCCAGGTGACAGAAGTTGGCTGTAGTTGAGTAGCCTATTGGTTAGGAATGCTTTTACCCACAAGCAACAAAAAGCTCAATTAGTGTTATCTTAACCCATAACATTTACTGTGTGTTTAACAAGAATTCTGGACCCCGAGGTTGGTTTAGCAGCTTGACTATCTTCAAGGGACAGCTTCTTGCCCTTTCTCTCCTTCAGCCTCAGCTTGTGGGGCATTTTACATTTATGCTCGTGACCTCATGTCTCAAGCTGGCTGCCATATCCCCAGTCAGATTCTTACACGATCGGAGAAGACCTGGGGAGAAGGGGAGGGGAGTAAAAGAAAAGTCTTTTCCAAAAGCCCCTCTGCCCAGAACTAGATTACATGGCCATCCTGAAGCTTAGGGGACAGGGAAAGCTAGTAGAAAAGCTAGCAAGGTGAAAGGAATTGAGAATGAGTTTGGACAGCCAAATAGTGTCTGTCATTAACTGCTACTTCCTTGGATAGAAATTATGCATTTCAGGTTGCCACAAGCCCCACCACTCCCTATTGTGTCCCAATAGTGAGGCTCTCTGTCAGTCTCCATTTATCATTGTGCCTGCACCAACTCCTTCCCTTACCTCCCTCACCTGCTGGACCTGTAAGGTTTTGTGTGCTGCCTATCTTACACCCAGTGCACACAGCCACTTGGGTTTGGGCATCTTTCAGCTTACCAACTGCATGTAGATTCAGAAAATAGAGTCCCTCTATTTTCCTTGTACATTCTCAATCACTTTCTCCACCCACTCTTTTCCCTTCCCTTTTGCCCTTCTCTCTCCAGGAGAATTCCTCCTTATCCTGAAGAAAATCCATCTTCCTTCATATATATAGGGAGCAAGAGAGAGACGTTATATCTATAATATTAAATTTTCAGAGAGGGGAGGTAGGAGGGAGAAAATGGAGTGGCAATAATTTAAAAAGATTGATAAGCAATGAGATATTTCAAAAGACATCCAAATTAAAAGCCCTGATTTTTTTATTACCAGTTTCAGCAGACACTGGCTCTTGATTCCTACATTTTTATGGGAATCCTCCTCATGGAGGGCTGGTAGTAATGTGTGGGCAGGCGGCTGTCTGCAGCCCACGTTTCAGCTGTGCTGCATTCATGAATCACTGCATTGTTGCTGTGTTTGGAATGATCCAACTCCTTGTGTATCTCTCCACTTAATTGTATTCTGTTGTTCCTTCTGAACATAAGCATCCACCTCCTACCACCATATTTAGAGCTGTTCCTGACACAGTAATATTGAGTACATCACTGGGAATTGAATTGTTGAATGATTGAATGAATGAATGAATGAACATCCACTTAAAAACTGTTCTACTGAGCCAGGCACTAAGAGTCTGCCTTTGCTTAAAACCAAAGAAAACCAGGGCCTCCCTGATGGCGCAGGGGGTTAAGACACAACCTATGAAGCCGTCCATAGCCACTGAAGCACGAGTTTGATCCCCAGCGAGGGAGCTACCCACATGGCACAGCAGACCTCTCCTGACTCACCCGCTGCTCCCCTCAGCAGTGTATTTAGTCAATCTACCTGTTCTTTCCCCCCACTCTGTCTCTGGTGAATCCTCTCTGCCCTACACATACCTCTGGCCTGTGCCCCAGTTCTTGTATGCATAAATAAATAAATATTAAAAAAAACAAACAAGAAAACCAAACAGCCCCAAAAAAGATAGCAGTTTTTCATAACAATTCAAAAAAACAACACTATCTTCAACAAGAAAGAAATATATTTCTTTCCCACCTAAAAGTGCAAACTGGGTCTCCCTGATGGGGTTAAGTCTCAGAGCTATCACCACTACGGCCTGGGCTGGATCCCCAGCCAGGGAGCTACCCACATGGTGCAGCAGACCTCTCCTGTCTTGCCTGCTGCTCCCGTCCGCAGTGTATTTCAGTAGATCTGCCTGTTCTGCTCCCCACTCTGTCCCTGGTGAATCCTCTCACTCCCCCAGTTCTGGCCTGCACCCCAGCTCTTGTATGCATAAATAAAAATCCAAACTGTTGTGGCAGTTAGATCTGCCCTGTGACCACGTCCAAACTCCATCAGTCTTGTTGCTCAGCTGTGTGATCCAAGATGTGCTTGTTCAGGACCTGCCTTGCCCTTTAGGGACACAGCCAGGAAATTACATGCATTAACATCTCCCTCTTCCCTTATCTAGAACTCATCACATGAACAGACCTGCCACCAGGGAAGCTGGGGAAGTGTTGTGTTGATTCTGATCAACCCTGTACCCAGCTTAAAAGAGGAAATTCTACTAATATGAGAGAGAGGCAATAATAGCTAGATTTGGGGGAATCTCGCGTATGGTCTGGCACCATCACCATAAGAGAGGATGTTCCCTCACCTCGTCCTTCTCTGCCCAGCCCTCACTGGGGATCCCCCAGCCCACTGGAGGCACAAGTCCATGTTTAACATTCCAACTCCAGGCGGGTCCGTTGCAAACCACATACTGTGGCACAAGATTTCGGGGGCTGTGTGCCCCCCTCCCTCCTGGGCCCTCTCTGGCGTGGGCCAGACCTCTCCCTGCAGGGGCTCTGCGGCTGCCTTTGCACACTGCGGTTTGTTCAGCTGTCCATTCTTCAGATGACCCTGGGTCACAAAATGAAAACAAACAAGAGGCTGTTTGGGAGAAAGAATAGCAAGGAAGGAGACTGTGGTCTGTTTGTTTCCAAGCCTGCCCCGGGGCGTCATTGAGAAGACTGACATAAAAGAGATGAGAAATTGAGAAATCGGGAGAGAAAACACTGCTTTCAGGAGTCTTCCTCAGGCTGCGGGGTCCTAAGCGGCAGCAGGTAGAGTTGCCATGGTAACCTGGGCCCCAAAAGTGACCTTAAATAGACTAGCCTGGCCTGGACCTTCTGCCACACATGTCTGGGCAGGCCACTGAGGGCAGAATGGGATCCAGCCCGCCACACTGGCATGGGCCAGTTCTGTGCTCACCACTTCTGGGTAATTCCCCTGGAATGGGGAGGGGGGAGGGGATGGGGGGAGCCTAGGGCAACCGTGTTCCTGGGCCCTTCTCTTCCCCCGATTCATCCCTACTCATCCTTCAAAGAGTCTACAGCTATTAAGGGACAAGAGTGTATGTTTCCAATTAGAGGAGGTTCCTAGAGTCATCAAATCCAGACAGAAAATAGAAGGGTCCCCCCCCCAGGGACCAGGAAGAGGGGGCCAGGGTCATTTAATGACTCTTTGGGGATTTTCCTCAGTGCTCAGTGGCTGCTCAGTGGCTTGAGTTCCAGCTTTGCAAAGTGAAAAAGGTCCGGAGGTGGACACTGCTGGCCGTTCAACAGGTGAATGTACTTAATGCCACTGAGCTGTGCACCTAAAACTCAATTTTGTGTTATGGACACTTACCAGAGTTTCTTAATTGTTTTTGCTTTTTTTTGCTTGTTTCTGTGTGTTTGTATTCTCAACTAGTATAGGGTTTCCTTCCAAAATAAATGAGCACAGGTGACTGTCCAGATACTCAATATATTTACATGCCAGGTTCATATATTGTTAAGTGTAAATTCCCTTCGTTTGTGTTTCAAACCCCATTACATATAACATAGAAGCTGCTCACTAGTTAGTGAACAATACAAATAGCAAAGCAGTCACCCGAGGAAAATTCCCAAAGAGCCATTAAATGAGGGACAAAATATCACAGGAATGCATTAGCTCATAGTGAGGTGTGTAATAATAACACCTTACAAATGCACAAGAAATTTTACATAAGAACTTTCCAGATAACCCCTATAGTGTTTGTCTATACTTGTTTCTAAGAGGGAAATAGTGATGCTTGTTTTTTATATCCAGTCGTCAACATAATTTTTGAAACCAAATTATAGAAGCCCGGAAACTGTTGTGCACACTGTCTCACTTATTTCTCACCACAATTCTTTGATGAAGGTGTTACTTATTTTATGCATGAATTGAGAGAAATGAGGTTTGGAGAGATTTGGTAACTCGCCAGGGTCACAGTTTCCAGACTCAAAGACCTGCCTTTCTATTGCATCCTTCTCTTCCACCGCCTCCCAGACTGGCAGAAACCCCATCTGAACCCTGTTCCCCTCCCCGCAGGTCCGGCGGGGATGTACCAAGGAGCGAACGGACTCACCAGCACAGCCGGATTTGGAAGTGTGCACCAGGTAGGCACTTGTCCCTGGGAGTCCCCCAGCCAGGGCACCCAGAATACGACTCCCACCCACGGCCTCCCACCCTGGCTTTGGAGCCCACAGCACCAGTGGGGCAACACTCCATTGGGAAGACAGAGTTTCATGGCAAAGAAATTGGAATTACTAAAATATTTCCAAGATGCCATAGTAACATGTTCCATCTTGACCGGGGCCTAACCCACCCACTGCTGCTGAACCTGGGTCAGACAAAGGAAAACGTGCCCTTTACCAGGCCGTGAGCATCTCCAGGGTGAAAGTTTGCCCTCTTCACTTCTGCATCCCAGTGTCGGGGCACACAGTGGGGGCTTTATGGATACTGGCTAAATCCAACCAAGCACTGCTGGGAAGATGAAGGCTGACTGAGTTTGATCCTCTTGGTCTCACTTAGAGAGTGAGCTAAGAATTGACCTATGAACTGAGGGACTCCAAGGACTAAAGGTGCACCTTTCTGTCCATCTAAAATTATCTCATAGTGAGAGGTTCCCATGCCTTCAGACTAGCGTCAAACCAAAAGTAGCTGGGTGTTGATGGGCTTTGGAAATATTGAACACATTTAAATATGAGGAAGGTACTGTTTCTTGAGAAAACTAAAGCGCCTAAGTGACTTCACCTGGTATACAGGAGCAGTGTTCTGTGTAATTTTTTATTATTTTCAGGGTTCTAGATACACAGATTAAAATACTGATAAATAAAACAGAGTTCTTAGGTATGACTCTTTACTCTGGGTTTTTGTGCATTTTACTGTTGGAGCTTGTGAAAAACACAGACTCTCAGGGCCTCCCTGGTGGTGCAATAGGTTAAGTCTCAGCACTATGAAGATATCAGCAGCAGCCACTGCAGCACGAGTTCGATCCCCGGCCAGAAGAAAAGCAGACCTCTCCTGTCTTGCCTGCTGCTCCCCTCAGCAGTATATTTTAGTAGATCTGCCTGTTCTGCTCCCCACAACCCTGGTCTGCACCCCAGCTCTTGTATGTATAAATAAATCTTTAAAAAGAAAACCACAGACTCTCTAAACACCCCCCAGAAATTCTGTTTCCATTGGTCTGAGAGGAACCTGGAAACTGAGCTTTCCGCGAGTTCCTTGCAGGGTTGTGAGGCGCTGTGTCAGGGTGACGGTGGGGCAGGATATTTGAGTCTTGTGGGCAAACTGGACTCTGGTTGGTTTAAGCAGAACTTGAGAGAGTTGGCATTCTTCAATTTGCTCTCCAACACTCCTTCATAGAAGATTCTGGATCCCTAACTTTGTGTAATGGCTGCTATATTCACACCCCCCATCTGGTGTGTGTGTGTGTGTGGCCTTTATTATTCATTCACTTGTTCACTGATGCCACCAGTATTCCTGAAGTGGCCTTGTGTGCTCCACACTGTCCCAGATACAGCAGCAGCCAAGATGGACATGGTCAGTGCCACCGCATGTCCCTCCAGGTGCCCCGCCCACCTCCAGCGGCCAGTCTCTGCCTCTGAAGCCCAAACTGTCTGCTTTCCCTCCCTCCTTCACCGTCTCACTTCCCTGCTCTCCAACGGGTATCTCCTTTGCCTGCCAAATACACTACGTGCACCTGAATCCTTGCCTCAGATGCTGTGCTTCTTGGGAAAGTCCCTGCCCTCACGGAGCTCTTCTAGCAGGAGAGAGATAGAGACAGACCCAGCAGACCCACCACCTCATGAGACCCTCGCTAGTGTGTGAGCGGCCAGCTGAAGGCCCCGCCCAGAAAGGCCTCTTCCTCACTACCTGTGTGTCTCCCTTCCCAGGACTACCCTTCCTACCCCGGCTTCCCGCAGAGCCAGTACTCCCAGTATTACAGCTCGTCCTACAGCCCTCCCTACGTCCCGGCCAGCAGCATCTGCCCCTCTCCGCTCTCCACGTCTACCTACGTCCTTCAGGAAGCCTCGCACAACGTCCCCAACCAGAATTCTGAGTCACTGACTGGTACGTACGATGACTGTCACCTGGTGGCTCATGGCTGTGGTCCAAGCTCTTCCATTGAGGAGGAACCGGACATAGATTGCACCTGGAATGAAGTGGCCACTCAAGGGCCAGCACCAGCCCCCAGATGTGCTTTGTTGGCACCTGTGTGTGTGGGTATGTGTGTCATTGCACCCATGGAATTTTCACCTAACAGTCCTGTCTGTTCTCTTGTGAAAGAAGCTGTGCTCCTCTAGGTCCACACTCCTAAGCAACAAGGCTGGCTGAGCTGAGTAGGCCGCCCCGTGTAGACAGGTACAGGCCCCGGAGTTGGCGCGCCCGGGTCCTCGAGGACAGGAAGCCAGTATCTATCACTTTCCCACTATCGGCCAGCACGAGCCATGCACACTCCTCTAATCTCTCACTTCCATACTGACTCAACAAATACTAAGTAGCTGCTGTTTTCCAGGCCCTCCTTCCTTTGAGAGTAAAATGCAATACGTACTTGATCTAAGAAAGAAAGACTCCTTTCTTAGTTGTAATAAGGAAAATACATAAGTTGTAATACATAAGTTGTAATAAGGAAAACAATAATCCTCACAAAAACGTTTTCAGTTGCCCCCTCTTTTCCAGAGAAGACCAGGAATGACCAGCATGCTAAGTAACCCGCTGGTGACCGGTGGAGCTGGTGGAGCTGGTGGAGCTGGGATTCAGACCCAGGCCTCTGCCCACCAGCCACACGCAGCTGAGTACGTCACCAAAAACCATTTGAGAACAGAAGGGCAGAGGCCTTCAAACTGGGGTTCTCCCTCTAAGAGGAACCCTCGGGAATTCTAGAATCCCTCAAACAATCTTTGAGTGCATACCTTTCACATGGCACTCCAGTTCTAAGAAACCTTCTTATCAAGATTTTTGGCTTCAAAAGATAAAACCTTCAATTCAAACTAGTTTAAGCCAAAAGGGCATTTTGAGACGTCTGCACCGAGATGTACAGGGGCTCAGGGCACAGTCAGGAGTTCAGATGAAATATTGGACTTGGTCTCTGTCTTCCTTCTGGCTGTGCATTTTTATGGGTTCACTTCACTCTTAGGCAGGCTCTTCCCTACAGCGGCAAAGATGACCGCCAGCTGCACCGGGCTCCCCCCAGCTGCTCATCCAGAGGCTCTGGCTCCTTCCTACAGTCCCTACAGAGCTCCCAGTTAAGCTGCGCTGACCCAGCTTATGCCACATGCCCACCCTCAAACCAAGCTCTGTGGCCAGTGGAGTGGAATGCTGGGGCGGGGCAGCAGCTCATGCCCACAGCCGTCAAGCCACAGGGAGTGAGAGTGAAGGGGAGGTGGTTTCCCAAAGAAACTCAGTAACCTCAAGATGGAAGGGACACTGCGTGGGCAAAAACAAGATGTCCACAACCCCGAGGGAGATCCCACCTAGCCCATGAGCAACATGCAGTAGAATCCACGCCCTGGCTCCTTAGCGAGGTGCCCCTGACTCACCACCCATTCACCCCGTCAATCTGCTATCCACATGTGTCTTCTCTCTTCTGAACTGATTTGGACTTAACATTCAATAGCATGACAGCAATCAAGTAGAAGGTCCAAATGCAAAGTAAATATTATGTTGTCTTCTTTTTTCCTTCTTTTCTGAAATCTTCTGCTGTTCTGGGGCTTTGTGTAGCTAAGCCAGCATGGTGGTGGCATTCATTTAATGAATGTTTATTGGCTGATGATTAGAAAAATGCAATAGTGGAGACACACCTCTCTACTTCCTGGAGTCGTTGGTGCAGCTGCTACGTTCAGCCCTTATTTTTTCCATCACTGTGGGCGTGTTAGTTATCCTGGGTTGGGTGACAAATGTACAATGTGGTTATGCATTATCAAGTCAACTTTTGAGAACATTTAGGGCTTAAACATTGCTTTTGGTCATTGGGATTTCATCACAGATTATCTAACAAAAGCATAGTACCGACTTGACAAATTCCAAATTTCTTTCTTTGAAGGTACGAAATTTAACAAACATTTTTTCTGCCATAATCTAGAAATATGTTTGGCCCTCCTGCTGTTCAGAAGGTGGCTTCTCCAAATTGGTTTCAGCAAAAGAGACACACGAAAAAATAAACTGATAAGAAATTAAGGCAGAAAGGAAATGTAAACAGGAAATTTTCAAGTAGAGGCTACTGTCTATAATTCAGTAGTGAGCTGGATTCCAAAGACTTCTTCCCAAGAATTTGGGCTACCTAGGAAAGTCATCTTTATTCCTCATCAGGAGCAAACATAAAGGCTCATTGTGTCTCTTTGAAATTTGTCTTTATCGTTTCCCCCTGTTCTTCATTTATCCCTTCATCTGAGGTTCAACAATAAGTGGTGGAGATGGTTTTTACTGTGTGTCTAACAAGCTCACATAAAATCTAATGGCATAAATAATTGTCAGCTATAATCGAGGTCTCTTGCCTCTTTTCCCCAGTGTCTCTTATAAAGAAAGGGCATATAAGCCTGTGTGTGTGTGTGTGCGTGTGTGCGTGCACGCACACACACACACACACACATACATGCACTCTCTTAAAATTTCCCATAAAAACTCCACTTTTGAAATTATCCAGGGTCTCCTTGAGTGGTTGATTCCGAACTCCAGAGACTCAAGAGGTTTATATATTGCCAGCAGATCATGCTCACTCTGCCCTGCCAGAATACGGTGTCCTGATGCCCTTCTCCACTCGGCCCCCACCCCACTGCAGCACCATCTGCATTGACATGTATTAACAGCTACATGAAGCCCCAACAATTTGCACATGATTGGAGCACAATTTGCTGATGCAGAGCGCAAAATCTCAACATCTGACATTACTCAAGAGAAAAGACAAATCAGTAGTGGTTGCTTAAGGACTTTTTTCTTTCAAAATTTTAAGTATGATAGAAATTATCAAAAAAGAAGTTGGAGGCTATTTTTGAACTTCTTAGGTCATCTCCCTTTGTCAATAGGAGAATTTCTTCAAATCTCTCTCAAGAAAAAACTTGGAAGTCTCTTCCATGCAATTTGGCAACATCTCACAGAATTTAAAATGTATGTGCTCCCTAATCCAACTTTTGTACTTCTAGGAATTTATCCTAAAGATAAACTTCCACATAGATACAAAGGCTTAAGTAAAAGAGTACTTGTTGTACCATCGTCATGGCAGAAAACTGGGAAAAAAACTAAATATCCATTAACAGGAATCAGGTTAAATAAATTATGCTACATCCCCCAACATCAGACTATACATCTGTTAGAAGAGAAAGGTAGACATATCTTTGCTGATGTGGAGCACTCTTTGACTTACTATGATAAGTGAAAATAAAACAAGGTGCAGAATTATATCCATCTGTGATCTTGGGATTTTTTTAAGTGTAAGTATAATCTAATACCCATATTTGCATATGAAATTTCTGGAAGGATACAAAAGCAATGTTTCTAGTCATTTGTCTGGGAAGGGAACTAAAGTGAAAGGAAAAGATTAGAGGCAGCACTCTATAGACTGCTCCATAGAGCAACAACAGCAAAATATACATTTTTTAAGTCTGCATGAGACACTTAGCAAAATAGACATATTCTGGGCCATAAATCAAATCTCATTACATATAAAGGGATTCAAGGCATAAAAAGTATGTTTCCGAAAACAGTAGATTAAATTAGAAATAAATAATGGAAAGATTACTGCAAAATTCCCTAATAGTCTAAGCTAAATAACATACTTCTAAATAACCCATGTGCTGTGGTTAATTTTATATGTTGACTTGACCCGACTAGGGGATGCCTAAATATCTGGTAAAACATTATTTCTGGGTGTGGCTCCAGAAATAATATGAGATTGTTTCCAGAAGAGATTAATGTTTAAATCAAAAGAATCAACAGATTATATGGCAGGCATCATCCAGTCCATTGAGGACTCATACAACAAAAAGACAGAGTAGTAATGATATATCTCTCTCTCTCTCTCTCGCTCTCTCTCTTCTCTCGTGTGTGTGTGTGTGTGTGTGTGTGTGTGTGTGTGTATCCTATTGATTTTATATCTCTGAAAATCCTGACTAAAGGTACCCTGGGTCAAAGAAGAAGTCAAAGGGAAATTAAAAAGTATTTTGTACTTAATGAAAATGAAAACACAACATATCAAAATTTATGAATTGTTACTAAACAATAACAAAAGGGAAATTTAATTAGCACCAGTTTTCTAAATTAGTAAAGAAGAAAGATTTCAAACTAAAGACATCAACCTCTACCTTGAGAAATTAGAAAAAGACTAAATTACTCCCAAAGTAAGCAGAAGGGATATAACAAAGATCTCACTGTAAACCCATGGAATCTGAAAACAGTATGGCAAGACAGAAGATCAGTGAAAGTAAAAACAATTTCTTTGAGATCACTAAAATTGACAAAACTCTAGACAGACTGATTTAGAAAAAAAGACACACATTATCAATAAAATGAGACAGGTAACGTCACTACAGACCTTACAGATATAAAAAGGATAATTGAATTTTAGGAGCAATATCATGCCAGTAAGTTTGACACCTTAGATGAAATCGACAAATTCCTTGTAGGACAAAAACTTACAAAATTTATCACAGACTGTGATTCCATTTGTTTAAAACCCTAGAAAATGCAAGTTAATTGCTAGGAAAGCAGATCAGTGATTGTCTGAGGAGGGGAACAGGAGAAAGAGACCAGCGGGGTTACAGGGAAGCTCTTGGAGGTGCTGGATTTGTTCATCTTGATTGTGATGATGGTTTCACGGATGTGTACATGTGAAAAATTATCAGATTGTACACTCTAGATATATGGGGTCTATTATTTGTCAGTTTTGCCTCAATAAAGCCATTAAAATAAATAAGTAAAAACATTAAAAGGGACTAAGGATAAGAGTAAAATAACTCCCAAAAAGCCTTCTATAAATTGCTCTAGCCTCTGTCTCTGACTGCGACCTTGAACTTTGACATTTCATTCTTAAGACTGTCTAAGTTTTGAGAAAGAACTGTCTTGGTGAGGTGGGGGGCATCCCTAATGAACTGGGTTCAGTTCGGCTTATTTAGACCTTTCCTAGGTGAGTGGTTTTCTCCTCTCTTTTTAATAAAGTTTGCCTGAGTTTTAATGTACACAACAAATGTTTTCTAAGCCCCTATAACCTTAGAATTACCAAGTAAATCAAGATAAACCTTATTTGCATGACTCTGAAGCATCTGTGAATTTTTTTACTGTCTATTCCTGTTCTCCTGAAGAAAGTCTTTGCTAGAGAGATGTTTGGGAAGCCTTAAGACTGCATCCTGAAAATGTTGGGGAGTTGGAGACCGCCCAGCAGGCCTGACAATTCAAAATCACGTCTTTTCTTATTATGCCCTTAGTCTGCTAAGAAGTTTTATAAGTATTAAATAAACAAAGCTAGTCCCTTGGGTTTTGGAGGGAAATAGTCCTTCCAGAGGAGGGAAAAAATCAATCCATTGCCAAGTATTTTTAGACAAAAGCATTTTCCCCCCAACGAGCCAAGAACTGGATTATGGAAGGGGAGATGGAGTCCGCAGGATCCATTTGGGAGCTAAAACAAACAGCTGTAAAATGAGAAAGTGGGAGGGGGCCCTGAGGTTCTAGGCTTACCTTCTGTCACTCCAGGGAGGAGGGCAGGCCCAAGTTTTAGTTCTGGCCCTCCCGCTAGTGTGCAGGGTATAACGGAGGGCTAATATCACCTCGGGGGCCTCTTTAGTGAAATAAAGATAATAGAGTCTAACAAAAATCCAAGTCTTTAAAACTTCTGTGCTTAAAAAACTACCCAACTTGGACTCTAGATTTGGGACCTCAGTCCCAGGAGGGACTTGTCTGGGGTGACTGGACAACCTTTCAAAGGTATGAGCCTGGCAACCTCTTATCACTCCTGTCTAAAACATGCCTTGGTCACCTTGTGTCCAGCAGCTTCTCACTGATCCCCAGAATTTTGTCCAGCCCAGCCAGAACCCGATTCAGAGCATAGATGACAGCTCTCCGTAGCCCCCTGTGCGGGATGCTCCATGCCTGCATAATCCCACTTCATTCTCAAATGGGATTAAAACATAAAGGACTTGCTTTTCATAGAAAATGGAGCAAGCCTCATAGGGAGAGGAAAGTGGAGAATTCTCCCACACACAGCCCCTTATCCCCAGCAACAGGGGTCTCCTAAAGGTGGCAGCATTTGTCATCTTACTCCATATAAATATTTTCTTCCTTCTGTTAGGGATTCTAGGACATTTCTTCCTTCTGTTAGGGATTCTAGGATTTTAGGACATCAGAGAGAAGGAAATGCAAAATTCTGTCCACTGTCAGTTCCTCCAGCGCCCCCACCCACACTGTGCCCAGATCCTGGCTCAGGTGGGTCCTTATCCATGAGGCCCCCTGCCCGGCCCCAGATGACCAGTGACCTCCCCCACCACCGCGTCCTGCCTTCCAGCCATAGTTTCTCCTTCCAGCCATAGTTTCTCTGTAACACATGTCCTGCCAGCGTGCGTTTTCATGTTTGTCTGGTGTCTCTCTCCTCTCTCTAAAATTTAGGTGCATGAGAACCAGGCCTGGAACTTCCCTGCTCACTAAATCTTTGTGGGATGTATGGATGATGATTGGGCCACTTAAGAGCCTCCCACGAGCTATTTCGATTCCACATTGTCTTTACCTCCAGCGTGGCTCGGGCCCTGCCACAGGGCGTTAGATGGCTCTGGTGGCTATTTCCGGGCAGGAGACACTCAGCAAAGCTCCTGATATGCCCCTCCTCCCTTTCCACCTAGGCGACTATAACACACACAATGGACCTTCCACGCCGGCAAAGGAGGGAGACCCAGACCGGTCGCATCGGGCCTCGGACGGCAAGCTCCGGGGCAGGTCTAAACGGAGCAGCGACCCCTCCCCAGCTGGGGACAATGAGATTGAGGTAACTTCAAACTGCCTCTGTTTGATGGGGGAATGTCATCTCCATGTGTCCAAAACAGGAGGTGGGGGACAGAGTTCTCCCCAAGTACCTGGGGGCGAATTGACCTTTCAATGGGATGTGTCAGGGAAAAGAGCACTTGCTGGGAAAGCAGGGAATAATTAGGGTGACCCCAGTGGTGGGCCTGAAGAGTGACCCCAGAAGAAGATAGTCAGGTCCAGGGGGATCTCAAGCTTAAGCAGGAGCAGACTCCCCTGGGGCCTCATGAACCCACACTATTCCCCAGAGTTTCCAGTTCAGCAGATCTGGAGCAGGGCCTGAGAATTTGCCTTTTTAGCAAGTTTCCAGCTGCTGCTGGGGTGGGGCCCACACTTTGGGAGTCCCGGGTCAAGCTGACAGTGGGCAGTGGAGCCTCCCAGTGGGTCAGGGTGGGCAGATCTCAACCCCGGCACCGTGTGAGAATCACTTGGGATGGTTTCTGAGTGGCAGGTGCTCACCTCCTCTGCCTGCCATGGAGTAAATATTGCAGGCAGTGCTGAAGGATCCCCTGGTGGTGCCAGTGTGGCTCAGCTGGTGCTGTGCCTGGGCATGAGAGGCTGCTTCAATGAGATGCCTCCGTTCTAGAGTCTGAGTTTCTCAGACACCTTGGCTGCACGTGAGAATCTCCACGAAGCTTTAAGAAACCTTCCTTCTCGAGCTGCATGCTAGAGCCACTAAACCAGATTCCAGGACGGGACCCTACGTATCAGTTTAAGCTCCCCCTGGTGATTCCTATGTGCAGCCCAGACAGAACCACCCGTCCAAGGGATGCACCCATTTTTATTATAATAAAGCAAGTGAGTGGTGAATGGTCAGCATTGACATGTCCCCAACAAACAGAGAAGCACATGCAGGAGAGCGGGGAGCACTGGTGCAGTCGGAGCTCAATGCATGCCCAACACGCACTGTTATCAAGGGAGGAAGTGGACGTGGGTGCTGGTTTGGCTTCCTTTGCACTAAGCAGTCACTTGTTGGCATGAGTGTGCCGGGGGCTGAGATAGAGTTTGCCAAGCCTGTGTCAGTGCCAAGAAATCTGCATCATCTCACATCCCCGTTCAGAATTCTGTTCAACTTACGCAGCAGCTCCCCACTCGGATATGCTCAGGATCGTCACTGTCATCACTTCTTTAAATCCATGTCACTTGACACTGAGTCCCCCTCCCCCCCACTGGGGTAATAGGTAATAGGTAATGAGAATCTTGGGGTTCAAGTGGTCTCAGAGAGCAGAACAAAGTCTCTCATGTCCAGTGTGGCTTGGTCGCCGCCCCCTTCCTCGTGCCCAGTGCCTGCCCAGGCCAGGCCATCATGCTCAGGTTTCCATGCCATACGTGGGGCCATACGTGGGGCAGAAGTCCTCATGCAAGATGAACCTTGGCGTGTTGGCGTGTTGGCTACAGTCCCCTGCATGCAACAGAAACCAGTGCTGGCCACTTGCCCAAAAAGGAATTTACTGTGAGGACGTGATACAACCAAAAACGTTGCAAAGAGCAGCAAGAAAGGCTGTGCTGAGGGACCCAGGGGGCTGGGATCTGCTGGAGGCTGAACCCCCTGAGAATCTAGTGCCTCTTGACTCAGTGTCTGAGTCCACGGAGACAGCAACCCCTGCCAGGCGTGGGTCTTGTGCCTGCCCTGGACAGATGGGCCCACCGACAGCGCACATGGGAAGAGAAAGGCCCACTTGTTGAAGGATGGATGCCGAGGGCACACAGGCGATGCCCAACCAGGGAGCTGGCATTTAGCCAGTGCTCGCCAGCAGGCCTGTACTAGTCAGCCTCTGTTCACTGGGAGAGTTGTACTCATTAGCTGCTGTACACTAGTAAGGCAGTACTAGTTAGGCACCGTTCACTAGCAGGACAATACTAGTTAGTCACTTTTCACCAGTAGGAAATACTGGTCACTATTGACTAGTAGGGAAATACTAGTTAGTCACTTTTGATTAGTATGACAATACCAGTTAGTTGCTGTTGACTAATAGGGAAATACTGGTTAGTCACTCCTAACCCATAGGGAAGTACTAGTTAGTTGCTGTTGATTAGTAGTGTGGTACTAGTTGGTCACTGTTCATTAGTAAGGCTGGAGTGGTTGCTTATGACAAGTGTTATAAGCAATTTCCTCTGAGAACTTGGCCACCCTACCTACCCTGGGGTCCTGCCATTCAGCAAGTCCCACTGCTCATGGGACTGTTCGCAGTCCAAGAGATTCTGTACTTGCTTTTCCTCTAATTCTTAAAACTCATACACACACACACACACACACACACACACACACACACACACACCACCTTGCAAAACTGAGGCGACTTTACACAATCCCTTTAGTGGCATTAGGCCTTCGAAACAGACTAGAAGAAAATATATTGACTTCACGTTTTCCCTGCTTTCTTCTCTCCCATTCCTGAGTATATTTTCTACCAGCTTGAAGCTATGGCACGTCCACACATACATTAATAATTCTTTTTTAACTATATGGCCACCTAATATGGTTTCTGTCCTGGTGGGGAGTAGTGGGGGTGGAGAGACAATTTTTCACTGAACTGAGAAGGGGGTGAGGAGTACATGGAAGTCAAGGATTGTGGGGTGATATGATTCTGGAAACATCTGCTCCTTGATTCTGAGGCACACCATTGGGCAAGAGAAGTTGAAAAGGTGTGAGCTGTGTTTCACTCCAGTGCTTAATGTCAGCGAGGAGGGTTTGCCTGGGTCACACCTCTTAAGTCTTTGGCAGTTTTGTTAATATCTGAAGCCCACAAGAGAGAAATTATAAAGAGAAGTGGAAAAAAGGGAAATTCCAAGTGTGTATTCATTAAAATCCTTCAGCTACAGGTGCCAGACTCCAGCCTGAGCTCACTTAAATGACAAAACAGGATTTATCTTGAGGATCCTGGGGTCCTCTTAGCACCCAAGGGCAGTGCTAGAGAGGTGTCCACAGATACTGGAACCAAAGGTAGCTGGGCAAGGAGATGTGTTTATGCCTTTGCTCTCACACACCACAGGGAAGGTGCTAAGATCCCCCAAACAAGAATGTCTTTCCCGGTTCTTCTCCAAGCCCCTCACTCTGCTTCTAACTGAAACCAGGTCCTAGAAAAGTGCTAAGTTGGAGTTGTCTCTCCACCTTTCACTCTTCGGTTCCTCTCTCTCTGCTGATGGGCCTTCCTTGTCCTTCAGATCATACAACTGCCAACAGCTACCCAAAGACAGTGAACTTCCTTCTGGGCCCCAATTTTAAGTTCCCAAGGAAAGACCACTGCCCTGCCGGGGGCTAAGGAGCCACCTGACCCAAACCAGGGTGTCCTACAGAAAAGCTCCAGGAACATACCCGCTGAGGCTCGAGGACAGGGGGTTTGAATAGATACAGAAACCAGGACTTGGCATTTTTAAACCGCAGACCTCTCCTTTAAATTAATAGTTTTCAAACACTGTTTACCAAGTAATGCTTATTTACGTGGTGGTCCTGCACGTACCCACACGTACATATAACTAAACTGAAAAATTCACAAAATAACACTCAAGTTTGCTAATTGCTTTGAAACTCCCTTCACTAATTGGCTTTTTTCCTTCTACTTTCTAGACACTATTCTTCTCTTTTCCTTGAAAAGCATGGTAGATGCCAATGTATAAATATGACCTGACCTACAGAGAGTTTTCTAAGCTAGCCCATTCAAGATGGCAGAGTGAATAGGTGATGGTTGCCCCCACACACCAGCTACATAGATATTCTACATTTTTCTTAGAAATAATGATCACCAGGAGCCTCCCTGGTGGCACAGCAGGTTGAGCGCCGCACTGTGAAGCTGTCTGCAGCCTCTGCGGTGCAGATTCTTCCCCGGCCAGGAGATGCCCACATGGCACAGCAGACCCCTCCTGTCTTGCTCGCTGCTCCCCTCAGCAGTGTATTTCAGTCAGTCTACCTGTTCTGCTCCCCACTCTGTCTCTGGTGAATCCTCTCACCCTCCACATCTCTGGCCTGTCCCCAGTTCTTGTATGCATCAATAAATAAATATTTTTAAAAAAATAATCATCACCAGAAAAATGAGGAAAACCAACAGCATGAAAAAACAAGGTCAAGGTAAATGAATTGCATAAATGACAGGAGAGGTAATTTACAAAACAGAACTTAGAAAAATTCTGAGTGATTTTTTTATAAAGATTCAAGGAAATCTCATGTGTATAAAATAAGAAGGGGTGGCTATTGGGAAAGGAACACACAGAGATAAGAAAGAATGACAGTGGTGATCAAAAGTTTAATAGAAGGGCTGGCAGGGAAAACTTAAGAAATTTCCCTGAATATAGAACAAAAAGACAAAATTATAGAAAAAATATTTTTAAAGAATAAGCAGTATCAATTAACAAGGTCTAAGTTGACTGTTGGGAACTTCAGGAGGTAGAAAACATAGGAGGAAATTATTTGAAGAAATGTGATTGAAAATGCTAAAGTGCAAAATGGTATGAATGGAAAAGACCACACCTAAGAATACTCTTATGGAATTTGAAGATACCAAATATAAAGATCCTTTTTAAAAAAAAAAAAATCCTAGCAAGAAAAAAAGAAACACTTACAAAGGACTGAGAATCAATGAAATATCAGACTACTTCAATCATTTTGGATAGATAGGAGAGGGTAATGGAAGAATTCTTTCAAAGATGTAGAGGATATTGTTTTCCAACTGGGATTCTGTAGCCACAGGAGTTAGCAAAGAAAATAAGGGTAACAGATTTGGAAGAATTCAGAAAATTATTTTCCATGCATCCTTTCAGTAAAAGCAACTAAAGGATGTACTCAAGCAAAACAGGGAAGAAAACCCAGAAAGAAAGACATGTGGAATTCAAGAAACAGTAGACTGACCCAGAAATGCAGAAAAGGCTCCTCTCAGGATACTGCCTATGCAGCAAGCCTAGAAAGAACTTAGCCCACAGTGAAGCATTCAATCATTGTCAGTGTGGCACATTTTCAATACAGAGCATATGACTGAATTTGAAATTCTTATTTATGGCAAACAAGAAGAGAATTAAAACAATAAAACTCCAGCCCAAAAAAAAAAAAAAAAGTAATACCAGACAAGCATAAGTCCTAGATAAAGAAACAAAATTGGCATGGTTTTAATTGGGAAGGAGATCAAGAAAGGAGAATTCCTACATCCTTCATGGTAAGAAGGGTCTCCTTAATGTGGCTCAGAAGATTATTTCAGTGGACACACATTACTTGACTCTGCAGTGAAGACTCATCACAAGAACTAATCACAGTGAATGCTTTTTACCTCTTACCAACTTTTAAAATCAACACACACAGCATGGGAAAGTATAGTCATAAAACTAAATGCACAAGCCATTTTATACACACTGACAACACAAAAGTAAAGGTAATGCTTAATAGATATTGGAAAAGAAAGGAAATAGGGGCAAGAGTAGGGACAGCAATATCCATATTGGATACTGTTTTATTCAAGAAAGAATAGAATGTCCAAAGCTGATGGAATTGACAATAGAGGGGCTCGCCCATGGCAAAAATAGAAAGTTCTGGAAAAAATGGGGGAGATTGCCATGAGCAAAGCCCAAATCTTTCAGCTTTTCCAGTCAAAGGATATTGCCTAGGGCCTCCCTGGTGGTGCAGGGGGTTAAGATGCAACTTACGAAGCTGTCCGCAGCCACTGCAGTACAAGTTCAATCCCCAGGCAGGGAGCTACCCACCTGGCACAGCAGACCTCTCCTGACTCACCTGCTGCTCCCCTGAGCAGTGTATTTCAGTCCGTCCGCCTGTTCTGCTCCCCACTCTGTCTCTGGTGAATCCTCTCACCCCCCGCATCTCTGACCTATACCCCAGCTCTTGTATGCACAAATAAATAAATATCTTTTAAAAAAAAGATATTGCCTAAAGTTGGCAGTGAAAGTATAATTACAAGATTTAGAATTATGGAAACAATCAGCAGAATCGCTACCAACAGAAATGGTCGGCGGGAGTGGTGTCAGGGTAAGCGGTATTATATGGTTTTTATTGTTGCCTTTGGACCAAACTCCTGCTCTTTTGAGCTTATATGTGGAAGGCTCCTTGGTTCTGGCACCTAGTGTGTTGATAGGAGTCCAGAACTGGCCATCAGAACACACTTTACACAGCTGAGGCTGGATGGGGACTCAGCTCCGTGAGTTGCATGTTTTATAACTTAAAGATAATCTTTTCCAAGACTTCTTTTTCCTCCTAGGGAATTAATTTCTGCAGACACTAAAGTCAGATGCAGACGGGTCCATTTGTCCCCATTCTCTTTCTCTCTTTCATCACAGCGTGTGTTCGTGTGGGACCTGGATGAGACAATCATTATTTTTCACTCCTTACTCACGGGGACATTTGCATCCAGATACGGGAAGGTAAGAATCCATTTTGTCTCTTTTCTTCCTTTCAACGTAACAGTCTGTCCAACTGATTTGTCCTGGGAATTGTGGGGGCAGTTGATGAGGGACGCCAGCATGTGTGGGTCAGCCTGGCTTTGAGAACTCCTATGGAATTTTCCCTTGACATGTGAAAAGGTAATTAGCTTCTCCTGCTATTGCCTCCCATGTCTTGCCTTCCAACCTGTGGAGCGTCCACCATCCACCTGATGGGCTGTAAGCTCATAGTCCCCTCCCTCCTGAGAGGGCTGGCTGGGCCAGGCTGCAGCCAAAAACAGTAATCCTAACTGAAAAACGAGGTAAAATACTTCTCTCCTCCCCTCTTGTTTAGCTTAGTGTCTCCGGCAGATGAATTTAATTTTCCTTCCTTTTTTCCTGAGACGAGAGGAAGGCATTATATCGACTGAAGTATAGCTCTTAGCAACAGTTTTGCAAATGTATCGTTGACAAATTATGTCAGAGAACCAGCCGGTTGGAATTCTGGGCAGGTGCTCTTAGCTGATTGGTGGTAAATGGAAGAAATATTGAAACCACCTTAATAATTCAAAAATGAGCCCAACTGCTAAAATCCCATCCCTGCGATTCATGGCCTTGGTTCTGCGACATCCCAGCAAACCACAGGTGGATGCTGCAGACATCTGCATCTCTCCAGGGAGACAGGTAGGGGTGGGAGGCAATGCTTTGGAGGACAGGTGAGTTGTCCTGTCGGATGGGAGTGACGTGATGGCAGCCGCCTCCACGCCTGGGTAGGAACTGTGAGTCTCACCAGCGCCTGGAAAATATTTCTGTTTCTGTTTAGAGACCAGGAATATGATGTGACATCACCTCATGGCTTTCCCAGCTGCTCGTGTTTTTTATAGGGGTTATAACAAGCTGGATGTGTAATTAGTAAGATAGATTTATCGTCTGCCATTATGTTGTAAAGAATATAAAAATGGTGTTGGTGGTGCAGAAATCTCTTGCCACTTAGGAATGCCGTTAATACGTCTAGCAGTGCCTGCGGGAAATCCGGCGCGTTGGGGCTGTGCATGGCTTAAATAAAGGATGGCAGAGCCCGGAGCTGCTGAGAACACCAGCAAGGGCACTTGCTGTTCACAGGGGCAACAGTAGTGAGCTGCTGGTGAGGTCTGGCTGACCCAGGGTATTGCTAACCATAGCCACCTCCTCGGAAAAGCCTTCCTTTGCGCTCCATGCCTTGTGGGATCTACCCCACTTGCAAGTTTCAAAGCAGATTGGTTCTCATGGGTTGTGCTGAGTTTGTCATCTTGGGTGTGATTTCTTCTGTTGGTGTCTCACCAGCACTCCTTAAACCCAACTGTGAGCGCCATAGCCCAGGGCCATGCCAGCAGCCTCTCTCCAACCCTCCCACCTAATCCCAGCCACCTTCCCCTCCACTGGTCCCCTTTCTGGTTGGCCAGCCTCCACTTGTGCCCCTTACTGGCCCTGCAGAGGACTCATCCTAAAACACAAGTCAGTTTAGACCACACACAGTTTAGACCACACCCCCATGCCCTCCCCATGCTGAAAAACCGTCAGTGCTTCCCTGTGGACAAACCCCAGTCCCAGACTCCCCCCCCCACCCCTGTCGTGAGCTGGCTCTCGCCTCTTTCCCAGTGTTGGCCCCAAGCTGCTTTTTGTCCTGGAATCTGTCATGTTCTCTCCCATCTCTGCTGGGTTTTTCCCAGAAGCAGAGCCGGAGGCAGGGTTGTATGTAGGTAGTTACAGTCCTGTGGCAGGTGAGGACGTCTCAGTCAATCCCAAACCGCATAGGTGACTGCGGTCCCAACCGCCTGTACCACCCAGCCAAGGCCCGCAGCAGGCTCTGCCCGGCAAGTTTGCAAAATGGCAGCCTATGGCACGCTCAGCAGTGAGATCACTCAGTGATACATTTCTCAGGACTCCCTTAAGGGACACGTGACATAGTTGGAGGGTGATCCCAGGAAGCATTGGGGGCGGGGTGGGGAGGTCTGGGGCACCTGAAGAGTTAGAAGTACACACCTCAGAGCTGACTCTGCCAAGGAGCGAGGGGCAGGAATATTTACCTACCAGTCCACTTTCCTCATGACCTGAGGGCTTCTTCTGGAAGTGTAACCTCCCTGCCCCTCTGACCTGCCCTAGGGAAGCCCCAGGGCAGTGGTCATGGATGCCAACAGAGGAAAGGTACAGGAATGGTGACAAACAAGGGGAGACATAGGAGAGCAACACACTAGAAGCTTCTGCTATGGTCCAGAATGTTCTAGATTCTTTTTCTTTCACTAAGTTAAATCTTTCCTTCAGTTCTCATTTTAAATGTGGCTTCCTCAGTGAGGACTTTCCTAACCACTCCCCTCCATGTAAATGGCCTTGCTCCTCATAACTATATTTTTGTGTGTGTTAATTATGCACTTGTCTGCCTGCCTTCTAGGCTATACTTGCCATGAGGGTAGGGACCATGAGTATTTTATATCAACCCAACAGATCCCAGTGCATGGGTCAGAATTGTTCATAAATATTCCTTGAAGGAACCAGGATGATGCTCTAGAATAAAGCTGCATAAAGACAGGTCCATTTTCTTTCTATTTTGTCCTATTTTATTCGTTGCTTTAGATCCCAGTGCATAGAACATGCCCAAACACACACACACACACACACACACACACACACACACAGAGTATCAAATAAATATTTGTTGAATGAAGAAAGGAAGGAAGGAAAATGGTATCAAAACAAAAAATTCCTAACTGATGGCCACCAGCCAAATTCAGCCTGCAGACATTTTTGTTTGGCCCCTTGAGTGTTGGAAAAAATGTGAATTTGTCGCCAACGTTTAAAAACCAGGAGATTGCACAGACCAAAACAATCTAGATTTTCAACTCTTCTTGAAAATTTAGAAAATCTGGCAGTCCTGCTTTCACTCCCCTGGGCAGCAATCACCGGGGGTGGAGGAGCCACTGCAGTCTTGGCAGCACAGACACGCTGCGGCCCGTTCGCAGCCCCACCTGCCTGTGGAACTCGTCTGTGGGACCCTCCCGCCCCCGTTGGCATCTGAGTTTCGACATCCGTCCTAGAATCACAGAAAGCCAGTATGGACGGGCCTAGGAGACCCTCCTGACTAATTAGTCTCCATAATACATAAGGAAAAACGGACACCCAGAGGGAGCAAGATCACCCAGGAAATAGTAAGTCACACCTCAGGCTCCCCTGTCTCCCTCTGTGCTCCCAGCAGGTTCAGAGAACACTGGGACCTCTTAGAGTCCCCAGGTCACCTATGCCATGTTGGCTGCACTTCTAGAATTTTCTACTCCCTCTTCCAGCTCAATCTTAGGCGAAGAAAGAGATTAGGGGTTTTTGTATTTTGGTTTTGGGGCTTTTTGTTGTTTTGGGATTTGTGTGTGTATTTGTGTGTTTTTTTGTTATTTTGGTTTGTTTTCTAAATCCAGTCACCCTCAGAGGATGCAAAATAACCATGACTTAAACAAAGTAGGGCTTTCTTTATTTCTCTCACCTGGCACTAAGGCATAAGCACTTCAGGCCCCTTCCGTCTTGTCTTCTGCCATCTCCGGAACATTGCCCTCATTGACAAAATAAAGCATAACTCACCCCCATATCTGCATTCGAGCCAGTGAGAAGAGAGAATGGGAAAAGAGTTCACCCCCTTCTTTTTTTTCTCTCTCTCTCTTTAAGGCCAGACCCAGAGGTTGCCCATATCTTTTTAGTCACATCCCAAGGCTAGAACGTGATTACATGGCTACACATAGCTGCAAGGGAGCCTGGGAAAAACAATTAAGGCATGTACCCTGTTAAAATTCAGGGATTCTGTTATGAGAAGAAGAAAGGAAGAATGAATCTTTAAGGACAGCTGTCAGCTCCTAACACAAAGTATTATCTGACAAGAAAAATACCAATGAAAGAGAAATATACTGAGGCAAAATAAAATTAGTTCTGTTTAAAAAAGCCAGAGAACAATTGGATTTCTGGTCTGAAACTCCAAAGAGAGGTCTGGACTATAGCTACAAATGTGGAAGACGGAGAACTGTGAAGGGTCTAGAGGAACAGGAGCATGTGCCCAATTTTGCAGAGTACCTGAAGCACAGGTTCTTGATATTCTCACAACAGAACTAAAATACATGCCCTGACCTTTGACCCACAACTTTCTCTCCGTGCTTTTTTGGCAACTGCAGCCATGTGGTGTTCATCAGTAATACCAAGCAGGACTCAGTTTGAAGCATGGAGTGTTTAAGGTACAAAGGGACTTACTAGATCACAATCATTGAAACGCTCTCTGGCATCTAAGATTTAGGTCAGGCTGGATCCAGGAGCTTAAGTAGTGTCTTCAGGGCTTGGTCTTAAGTCCTCAGTCAATTTTCTTCATATAGCGATACCCTCTCAGCAATGGACAAGGCAGGGCTTCTACTTCCCAAATTCCAGCACAAGTCTCAGGCTTGAATCTCATTGGCCCAAAGTGAATCAAATGTCTGTCCATATGCCAGCCTCTGTGACTCTGATTGGCCAGCCTAATCAAGAACCCATTCTTGGCATGGAGATATTGGAGGAGCCAATCAACTCCATCCCATTCAAATGGACTGAGTGGGGGAGGGCTGGCCACCCATCTCTAGAAGAGGGTCAAGTGGGGAGTGCAGAATGGGCTCTGAAGGAAGACACTTGATACATCCACGCCGAATACCAGCAGCTCTTTGCTGCTTGTGGCCATTGTGCTTAGCACTTTGCAAGAAGCAGAAATCACATCCATTGTGGTCCTGTAACAGGGTGGTCTCCAGGAAAGGGGGAGGTTCCCTGCCCCACCCAAGGAAGGGTGGAGCTGAGCAGGAAGAGGAGAAGCTGCAGAAGAGACTGAGGAAGGAAGCAGGATGGAGCCAGGAGACCTGGAGGAGGCACATGGAGCCTAGAGACACGTGAAGAAACTGTGCTTGTCTTTTGGTCGTGGACTAGGTGACACAGATGTGGGTGAGACCCGTGGGGAGGTGACCATGGCAGCTTTT